TTGTGTGTGCACAGGGTTTTGCCGGAAAATTTAAACGTACAGAAAAAATCGACAAATGCCTTTGATTGCGCGCTGATTTGATGTGTCAGCAATGACCATCTGGCCTTGTGATGTTGGCATAAGATGATGTGGTGGCTTGCGTGTTCCCCGAGCGGCGATTTGCTTTGGCCAAATTCAGTCTCAGCACTGAATATGGATTGGGCAAATCGTTGCACTTTCTTATTGATTGGGGGCCCGTGAACCATAACTCAAGTAATTCTCGGCTCACTCGATTGTCCCAGCGATCGAGTCGTCTTCTACTTCTCAATTATTTCCTGGGACTCGCATGTTCGCTTGTATTAGAAAAGTGTTTAGTTAAAATGCACCAGATCCGTTTTCATCTATCACAGGAATTAACTTGGCCTTATCGTGACGACATCCACAACCAGCACCACCAATTCCGGATCGTTGATGAACGTTCACCTGACCGCTAACGGAACTCATCTACCCCGCTATGCCTTGAGCATCGACAGAGGCTGTGACAGCTGTAACAGCTGGTAGTGGGCAGATAGAATTGCCGGCAAAGACTAGGGCCCAATGGTTAGAGCGTTTGACTCTGAGCAAAAAGTCGCGAGTTTGAGGCTCGTTAGGGACACCATTTGGGTCTGGGTATGACTGGCTGACGACGGTTGATAAGCCAGAAATCGGCATTCCAGTTTCCCTTGTCCGTTAGCGGTCAGGTGAACGTTCATCAACGAGTATTTATACACCCTGACCTAAACCGATGAGACAACTAGCTCGTGGCTCAATGGTTAGGGCGTTTGATTCTGAGCAAATGATCGCGACTTCGAGGCTCGGTAAGGACACCACTTGGGTCTGGGTATGACTGGCTGACGACGGCTAATAAGCCGGAAATAACCAGTCTAGTCTCCCTTTGCTTTGCCGGCAATACTATCTAAATTCCGGATCCTTGAGTAGATCTCTAGCATCTTACTATCAACGTGAATCGTCTTCTCTTCTGAAAACGAGCAATACACATGGTCGACAGAGTTGTAGTCAGACTACTGACAACTTATCTGACGTTAACTGTAGAACGAACAGTCAAATATGATAATGAATAAAACAGCAAGAGTTCGAAGGTATGTAAAATATTAATAAAATACATACAGCGACAGCCGTGGCAAGCTTATGATGTTTCCCTTAATCTTTCGCAATTGCCATCCTATGTAAGCACATAGGCAAACCGCAGTGCTCTCATATAAGAGCACAAGTTGGACAAGATGTGTTTAAACAAAAGGGATTATGCCGGACTCAAGATTAGTAGGTGTTTTACCCTTGATCCGCTCCCCTTCTGACCTCCACATATTCGGGCTCGATATAATCCAGCAGGTGACTGAAAAACCCATCAATTAATTGCTTCTGTTAATGATGGATTCTAGAGTGATTACGTAGGAAATCCTGCTTGGGCACTTAGTCTATTGCATCAGATATTGTGGATTCTATACTTTGCAGTAGGCTGGAGGGTTAAGTTGGCCGACGTGTGCGTAAACTCATAGCTCCCGCTGGGGGCTCGTAGTCCAAGTGGCTAAAGCGTTTGCTGTACTAAAGCCCTCCGTTATTTTAGTGAGTTCAAATACCAGAGAGGCCACCGGGTTTTCCACGGTTGGGTCTAATGAATTATTCAACTCTGTCAAAACCTCCCTTAATTGACTGCAGTTTGCCATTCGAAGGAAGAATACTTGCAATCGGCTACTGTTATTCCTCGTGAGAGCAACATCATCCAGTTCCCGTTTCTTTCAATCCTTTAAAACACCTGCGCAGCTGAAGAAAAGTCAATTTAACTTACAGTATTAGCAGTTATAAACAGAGATCTCCTTGGACGGGCTATAGGAACGAGCATGGACCCTTCTCCTTTGGACGAGAAGCTACTTAAAAGACTGCAATTCCATGGCTTGGCAACGCTTATACTCATGCATAGGCGCTGGTGGCATTTGGCCAATGCATTGCTATCTCGTATTCAGATGCCAACGCCGTCAACAGGCATGTTGACCTTCCTGCAGCATACAAAGTCTTGTGCCATTAGGTAAACGAAGCTCAGGATATGTAAAACTCAAAAAAGATGCACAGACACAATCTGAGAACGAAATCACCCGGCTAGGAAAAAGAGCCGCTGGGCCGAATAGCGCCGACGGAGGCTTAAC